GGAGGTAGCAGGGAGAGTGATGGTGGAGGGAGAGTGATGGTGGAGGGAGCGTGATGGTGGGGGAGGTAGCGGGGAGAGTATCGGTGTGGGACATATTTAATGTCATAAAACGATGAGACAACTCTGACGTGCCGAGCCTCCTGCCTGGTGTCCCTCACCCACTTCCCGTTCCTGTGTTGAAAGTCCTGGTGTCACACTCGGGGACACACACAGGCTCACGGTCTGGCTGCAGCTCCCAATGTGAAGAGAAGAGACCCATTTCCAGGTTTGATGTTCCTATCTTCCCAGCTTGGCTAAACCCACAATAAAGCTGCTGCAAATACAGAGACTCTCTCTGATTGGAACACATTCGCTATCCTGGCACCACCTTTCCTCAGAGCCTGCATTCCTGAGGCTGGAAATTTCATTTAAGTACATTTAGGTCTCTCTTTCTGTCTCTCGTTCCTGGCAGGTTATTCAAACCCTCTGTGTTTGTACATGGATATGAATCGCATTCCCGAACTGGAGTGTGTGTGTGTGCGCCAAACATTCCAGATGGGAGACAACATTTCAAACAGTCAAGGAAATGGCTTTGAGAAAATTAGACAGTTTTGTAAACAGAACAAGAGTGGAACATTTGGCGAGTTGCTCCAAATATCAGTGGGACCCACATTTTCATGAAAGTGTTAAGGGATGGCTGTAGTCAGGCTCACCTGCACTTGTTCCAGTCGTGGCCAGCGAGCTTGTTTTATATTTGGCTATTCAGAGAACAGCTCCATTTAAAATCCCACCGGAGTGTCACAGCGAGGGGTATATCAGGGAGTGTCACAGCGAGGGGTATATCAGGGAGGGTCACAGCAAGGGGTATATCAGGGAGTGTTACAGGGAGGGGTATATCAGGGAGTGTCACAGCGAGGGGTATATCAGGGAGGGGTATATCAGGGAGTGTCATATCAGGGAGTGTTACAGGGAGGGGTATATCAGGGAGTGTCACAGTGAGGGGTATATCAGGGAGTGTTACAGCGAGGGGTATGTCAGGGAGTATTACAGCGAGGGGTATATCAGGGAGTGTTACAGTGAGGGGTGTTTTTTTAAAATTCATTCACGCGATGAGAGCATTGCTGGCTCGACAGCATTTATTTCCCATCTTTAATTGCCTTGAGAGCAGTAGAGAGTCACCCACATTGCTGTGGGTCTGGAGTCACATGTAGGCCAGACCAGGTGAGGATGGCAGTTTCCTTCCCTAAAGGACATAAGTGAACCAGATGGGTTTTTCTGACAATTACAACGGATTCATGGTCATCATTAGACTGTTAATTCCAGATATTCCAGGATTCGAACCCGGATCCCCAGAACACTATCAGGGTCTCTGGATTAACAGTCCAGTGATAATACCACTAGGCCATCGCCTCCCCAGGGTGTGGGGTATATCAGGGAGTGTCACAGTGAGAGGGGAGGGGTATATCAGGGAGTGTCACAGTGAGAGGGGAGGGGTATATGAGGGTGTGTCACAGTGAGGGCGGTGGGGTATATGAGGGTGAGTCACAGTGAGGGGGGTGGGGTATATGAGGGAGTGTCACAGTGAGGG